TGGCCTAGATTCGAGCTGGTGTTCTTCCACGTGCAGCATTGGAATGCTCATAGTCATAAACGTGCAATGTCACAGATGTCCTCCCAACTCATGGCTAGGATCTCGTGGAAGAGAACACTGATGAGAACGATCCCTAGTGCTTGCGCCGTAACTGGGGCTCAGCTTAAACAGCGAGCTTGAAGGGCTCGGCGGCCTCTTCATTTTCGTAATTTCCATGCTCCGGGATGTTGGTTTGATGGGCAGAACTGCTTGAGCTTCGTGTTTGGGTACTGCGGCGGCCCGAACTTATAACATCTTTGAGACTGGTACATTTACCGGTCAGTTGTTGTGTCTCACGCACCACCAGAGCATGATCTGCAGCAGCCTAAACACAAGCTTTCTGAAGCTCAACCGGACAAAAAAAAACAACTTGAGCCCTCTAAAGCCCCAAAGCCCCTTCTGAAGCCAAACCTCCTACAGTGAGCGTCATTCAAGCCTTCCAGGCTCTACGGCATCCTCTGGTCCCGACATTCCCCGGAAAACTCCAAACTGAAGCCTCAGCAAGGCCTGAACAGCAAGATAAAGAAAGGCGAAGTGAATACTGCTTCTTATCTAATTATAGCAGATAGTAGTAGTCGTGAGAGAGCCCTGAAACGCCTCCGTGGAGGTCCCACTCTCACCTGCCAGGCTACACGCTGCCACATCGCCTGAAAGTTGGTGCATGGGAAACGCACGCCTCTCTTCTGTGTGGAGCCTCAGCTTCGGCTCCTTGGGGCTCGGAGCCTCAAGGCTGACTGGGCCGGTTCTACGTAGATTATGACACACTATGGGTTCGTAGGCAGTCTTCCGCCAAAAAGTTGGTTCTTTGGCATTGTCAGTTGGTTGGCAGCGCTTATATATGCAAGGCTTGTACACTTACAACACCCACTCAGAGTCATACAGTGGCTGTCGTGTTGTTTTGGCCTGCGTGCATGTGCTCGGAACCTGCACAAAGCCCTAAAATCAAAAGCTCCGTCAAACTCTATATAGCCCCCGAGAAAGTGGCTCGGAAGGGATTGTTTAAAGGAGAAAGAAATTGGGATAGCCCAAGAATAGACAGAATAAAGTAGGATGACCCACAAATAGACCTGTAGAGTTGGTCGGGCTTATATGGGGTTTGAAGGTCATGCACAGGTGCAGGCGCTGCGAATGCAGGAATTAACCCTGGGAAGCATCCCATTCAAGACCAGGCATGTCGCAACTGTATGAGCGATCATGTCTCCCAAAGGGTCCAAGTTATAGTACAGTATATACTTTGGGGGTCTAAATACCTACAAGGTAGCTACCATGCTAGTACTTGGACCCTTTGGGTCTTTCAAGTTCTGAAGTCCTCACGATTTCGGTTCCCGACTCGTGTGATGCAGTTTCAGGCCCAGGCAAGAAGATGCAAGGATGAGGTTTCCGACGACCCATGAGGAACCGAAGGCCCGGGAGAGCTTCTCTTTTCTCGGGCTTCCTGGCCTTGCTTTTGTTCTTCTGGGACGTGTGTGTGGTGCGGAGTCCCCCGGGCTGGTGGAAGGCCGGGCGTCCGCGGCGGAGGCCGGGAAGCCTGGCAGAGGCTGAGCTCCTCTCGCACCTGGCGGTGCTTCTGCTGCCGGAGGAGCCGATCGAAGAGCTCTTCCGGGACTTTCCTGCGGAGAAAAGCGATGGATGGGGCAAGAACACTTTGAGTCCGGACCTGGCGGTGTATGGTGCTTTGGAAGCAGAGGAAGGGGCTCTGTTCGTGGAGTATGACGGTTACTATCGTCACCAGAAGCCCGCGGGCATTGCAGCTGACAAACGCAAGAACACAGCCCTCCTCGATTTGGCACCTGCCGGATCATATGTGTTGCGCATAGCTCATGCCCATCGTGGACTGGAGCTTTCGAGCGAGATGGGGGAAGTTGTTGTGGGCTCGTGGCAGCCTGGCCATGACCCATCATTGGTGAACACACTTCTTCAAGTCGCTGAGTTCTTGTTGAAAGACCTGGGAACAGCAATGCATCCTGATCGCAGAGGAACTCTGCAGAACTTCGTTGAGGATCCTGTTGGGCGCTCCCGGCAAGCGGCAGTTGAGTTCACGGAACACGTCGCTGCGGAGCGTGAGCGTGACTTCGACCCAACACATCTGCATGATTTTCTGAAGATGCAGCTAGGCATAGCCATGTCCGAAGTGAAGGAACTTGTAGGAAGATGCCCTGCTCTAGCACGCTACGACATCCACGACAAACTCAAGCCCATGATGCAACAGCTGGAAGAGTGGGGCCTTGAGAAGTCTCAAGTTGCGAAAGTGATTGTTCGCTTTCCGTCAGTGTTGGGATGCCGCATCGAAGAGAACTTGAAGCCAACGGTGCAGTGGCTGCGAGATTTAGGGCTGACGCAAGTCGAAGTTGCCAAAGTGATTGCGCGCCGTCCCTCAGCGTTGGGATACAGCATCGAAGAGAATTTGAAGGCAACGGTGCAGTGGCTGCGAGATTTAGGGCTGTCGAAAGTCGAGGTTGCCAAAGTGATTGCACGCTCTCCCTCAGTGTTGGGACTCAGCATCGAAGAGAATTTGAAGCCAACGGTGCGGTGGCTGCGAGATTTAGGGCTGTCGAAAGTCGAGGTTGCCAAAGTGATTGCACGCTTTCCCTCAGTGTTGGGATGCAGCATCGAAGAGAACCTGAAGCCAACGGTGCAGTGGCTGCGAAATTTAGGGCTGACGAAAGTCGAGGTTGCCAAAGTGATTGCACGCTTACCCTCAGTGTTGGGATACAGCATCGAAGAGAACTTGAAGCCCACGGTGCAGTGGCTGCGAGGTTTAGGCCTGAAGAACGTCGGATTTGCCAAAGTGATTGCACGCTTTCCCTCAGTGTTGGGACTCAGCATCGAAGAGAACTTGAAGCCAACGGTGCGGTGGCTGCGAGGTTTAGGGCTGGCGAAAGCTGAGGTTGCCAAAGTGATCACACGCCGTCCCCAAGTGCTGGGATACAGCATCGAAGAGAATTTGAAGCCTACGGCGAAGTGGCTGCGAGGTTTAGGCCTGAAGAACGTCGGATTTGCCAAAGTGATTGCACGCTTTCCCTCAGTGTTGGGACTCAGTATCGAAGAGAACTTGAAGCCCACGGTGCAGTGGCTGAGAGATTTAGGGCTGACGAAAGTCGATGTTGCCAAAGTAGTTGCACGCTCTCCCACAGTGTTCGGACTCAGCATCGAAGAGAACTTGAAGCCAACGGTGCGGTGGCTGCGAGATTTAGGCCTGAAGAACGTTGAATTTGCCAAAGTGATTGCACGCTTTCCGTCAGTTTTGGGACTCAGCATCGAAGGGAACTTGAAGCCAACGGTACGGTGGCTGCAAGATTTGGGGCTGGCAAAAGCTGAGGTTACCAAAGTGATCTCCAACTGGTCCAATATTTTTGGCTACAGCCTCGAGAGAAATTTACAGCCGAAGGTGTGCTTGCTCATGGAGTGGTTCTCGTCTGAGAAGGTTCGGCATCTGCTTGTCCGCACTCCGTATATCTTGAGCCTAAGTCGCCGTCGCTGGGATCACCGGGCCCAGGTTCTCCAGGCATGCGGCAAGCTTTCTGTGTTTGGGTCTGCGATGACGCTGACAGAAGCCGAGTTTGCCAAGAGATACGAGGAGAGATTACAAGTTCATACAAAATCAGCTGGTGCCAACGTGCCGAGCTGAAAGGCAGTTCTTGGATGTTCAGTGAAAAAGACGGTTTTCTGCCAGGAGCATGCATGGTCTGCACAAGGAGCCACAGAATATGCTTTGGGCCCGAATGGAAAGGAGCCTCACTTTTTAGTTGCGTAGACGGACATCCCGAGGCTGGCTTTGCCTCTCACGTGGGCATGCTGCATGCTGCTATGGCACAGGCCCACGCTTAAGCTTGCAGATCTAAGAGTTCAGACAGCTTGTGGTTCGGCGTTGAGTTTAGCAAGTGGGTGGTTCGGAATTTTAGATTGATTCAGAGTGATCTGTGTTGAATTCGAGGTTTGCAGAAGGTACGACGACGTGCAAGTCTAAGCCGAACATCGGGCTTGAATTACAAGCTTCTCCGACATGGGTACAAGGTAGCTGACTTGAAGACAGGAGCTGCAAAACGTGTCATGTGGCCGCCTCGCCTGAAGAACTTGGATGCACAGGCACGACCATGTGGACTACCTCCCCGATGCTCTCGCAAGGGAGCTGCACAAGGCGCCTCTGCACTTTTTATACTTCCCAGAGGCTTGCACGTTTGTTACTAAGCTCTTGCCCCTACCTCATGACCCATTGTTGAGTTCGTATTAGTTAGCTTGCATCTTCATTCTCTGGTTTGCAAAGTTTGGTTTTTCGGGCTAGTTCCCTCGAGATCCCAAGCAAAAAAGCCTCAAGAAGCAGCCTGTCAGCCCCATAGCCTGAATCCTCGCCCCACTCTACTTCAAATCTCCGGAACCTGAAATCCTGCAAAGTGAGCCGATGCTGTTAGGGCCCTGTTTCACACCAGACCATGTAAGCAGCGTTGTTCATCTGCACGACTTGCCGATGTCTGAGGCGGCCCCCAAGAGTTCAGTCTGCGATTCTTGGAGAGTTTGGGGCTGGAGGGCCATTGTTGCGAACTCTGGCGCGTGTAGAAGTAGCAGAGGCATAGGTTTGCAGAGTGGCTAAAGCTCAGTAACAGTGCAGAAGACGGCAGCCTATGAAGAACCTACCGCACCGCCCACGTAGGACAGTAAGGGGTCTGGGCATCGGGTTTGGGATGAGGACTGCGGGCCTTTGGGGGTCTTTGGGCTAGGTATGAGATACGATGTGGCCACAGGCTGTTGCTGGGCCTTCTGCAGCTTCTGGCTTTCCACAGTAGACCTCAGCATAAATCCGCGCAGCCGTACAGCTCAGGGGTGCAGCTGGCGTGCATGTTTTTTGCTTTGCCACCCACCTCAAACTATAGGTCAGCATAGATGAACAATACGGTCTGCAGCAGAGACAAACAAACCCTAGACTCACCAAAGCGACCCGCCATAATCTGACAAATCCCCATGCCATGGAGTCACCAGACACGAGCCCCAACGTGCTGGGGCACCAAGAGCACGATCCGGATGAGGCAGGCATTTGTTTTCTCATAGCTGACTACAGGCGTGACAGCTTGTCATGTCTTCTGCATGGTATGTCATGACAAAAAATGGGTGTGCATATATATATATATATAGATAGATAGATAGATAGATAGATAGATATGCACACATACAATGTAGCATAGCATGATGATTGCCGTGTCTAGTGCTACCTTTGCTACTATTATCGTATATTGTTATGATTGCTGCTACTACTGTTGATGATATAAATCCTGCTTTACCTTAAGGACCCCAAGCTTTGGGAATTATGGTATAATCCTTATTATGAGTAATGCAGGATTTATATCATCAACCGTAGTGCTCGTACTGGCCCCTTCGCGATCAAGGTGTCAATAACGATCGCTCCCACTATCACTGGCTTTTTGCTACTACCAGTACTGTCATTACTATGACTATCCCGGACTATCCCTGTTACAACTGCTATTACTATGATTCACTTTCACGATTACGAACTTTATGTGCATTGCAGGTACTACAATTGCTCACATTGTCGATAACGGAACTATGCGTAACAACGATACCGCAGTTGTCAGCAATCCTTTGTTTATGTTGCATTGGTTTACCTATTATTTACATCACTAGCGTATGCGTATATGTGTATCAGCATCTGTATCTATATCTATTTATGTCTATATCTACATCTATGTCTGTATTTTATTTTTTGTGTACCTATAGTACATATGTAGATGGAGAAAGAGAGCGAACGAGAGGTACAGGGACAGAGAGCAGTCCAGAGTTTTGTTCCTTGGATTGTATTGCCCCATATTGCATTTCAATGTAATATATCGCAGCAAATTCTATGTCTATTGTCTTACGGTATGTCATCTTAAAGAGTCTGTGTTTATACCAGTATGTTGTACTAAAATACATTAGCACAGGACATACTCGACTAGATAGGGTTGGACTAGACCCTGCTTTCTTTGTTTGGGTATGTCTTGGTGGTTGATATAACTAGCTTATCATATATAAACAGTGGAATATATTATATAAGCCGGTCTGATATAGTCAAGTCTAAGCTAAATCTAATCTACCCTCATCTAACCCTAATCTACTATACGCTTCAATATGGAATGATATAAAACCTGAATATATATTATAGTGGCTATAGTCAAACCCCATGTCAGTTCCGGTCTTCAAAAGTAGCGTAGAAGAGAACTCATACCAATGTGCTGAACTACATCACAGTATGATCATAAAGCACAAGGCTACATCAGCTAGTATACCTCTATATAACATATTATGAAGTGGCAATGATAGGTACGTGTGTGTGTGTGTGTGTGCATGTGTAAGTTTCTCATATACAAATACATACATACACATTCATGTATTTTGTATGTCTCTATATGTGTGTGTATATATATATATATATGTGTGTGTGTGTATGTGTTAGCGCGTGTGTGTGTGTGTGTGCTTTTTGTCTGGTTGGTTGCTTCCTTGCTTGTTTGTTTGCTTGTTTGGGCATTTGCTTGCTTAGTGTTTGCTTGCTTGTGTGTTTGTATGCTTTCTTGCCCGCTTGCTCGCTTGTTTGCTTGCTTGCTCGCGTGTTTGTTTGTTTGGTTGTTTGGTTGTTTGTGTGCAGTTGTTTGTCGGTTGTTCGTTTGTTCGTTAATGGTCTATGTATATTGGTTTGATACTTTTTTTCTGTTGTAGTTATTTGGTTGGCTTTTTGTTTCGTGTGGTGCTTATTCATTTATATGACTGCATGTCTGTTTGTAGTAACTAGGGATCTAACCACTGCTGAACTTCCACACGCAGGGTGATCAGCTCAGGAGTCGGAGTTAGTCCAATCCAGAACGATCATGGCTGGGCTGACGGTTAGGACAGAGAGCTGCCGATGACATGGCTGAAAATCCGTATTTCAACGTGACTGCATGTCGGGCTGCTGAACTTAAGCCGATACCGCACATCATCCATACTCCCAACTTGGCGCTCTCCTGTCGAGGCGGCGTCAAACCGACCCGCATCTGAGCTGCAGAGGGGTGCCTTTTGCCAGCCTCGCGAGTATGGGGGTCAAGGGTTTGGGGTTCAGGGAGTTTTGGTATTAAGGGTTGACGGTCCGAGGGGACCTTGCATTGAGGGTGATGATTGGTTGGGTCTTGAATCAGCATTACACTCAGCGTGAAGAACGACTTGTTGGTGCCAGCAAAGCGATGATGCAAGGCCACATCTCTGGCCAATCCAGAGGACGTCCCGAACGCTTTGCCTCCCGGCAAGGCAGGACAGAACAAATCCGCTGTTGAAATGCTTTGTCTTTCCTAGCTGCAGCGGCTGCTACCGCTATGCTACTCCTCCTCCTCCTCCTTGTAATCTGACTATTATTGCTACTGCTACTACTACTACTACTACTACTACTACTACTACTACTACTAAGTAGTACCACTGCAAAGCCTCTGATGCGATATCAGGCGGGTCGTGGGATCCTCATGACCCGTTCACTTGCTGTAAAAACAGACGTCTCAATTGCATACTCTCGCAGAGCTACATCTCCAAGAGACCCGAGCTTGAGATATCCACAATCCAAACCCGCAATCTATCGCAGAAGACAACACCTGCGCAGAGGAACCGAGCCTAGATCCTACACAGCCCTGTCTCAAATGCAGCGCAAGCTCACTTGCGGATGATTCGGAACTCCGATTGACCTGCTTTTGCCGACTCCCGAATAGGGGCTCCTCGTCCTCTACACAGGTGTATGCATATATCTATATGTGTTTATTGGTTTGTTTATGTTCGTCGTTTCTGCATGTTTGTTTGTTCTAGTTATTGTTACTGATTGTTGTTGTCATTATCTTTGTTCTTACTATGTTGTATGTACATATATATATATATAATAATTATTATTATTATTATTATTATTATTCGTTTATAACTACAGATGGGTCTCGATCAACACACTGTGAACCGATGCACTGACTTGGCCAAACGCTTCGGGCCCTGAAGGTCAAGTTTCTGGCCTTCTTCCTGGTCTTCCTTCTGTGGGTCCCTTCGCCTTGTGACAAGTAGGAGTGCTATGAGACCCTAAACCCTAAACCCTAAACCCTAAACCCTAGAGCCTGCCAAGTTGCAGCCAGCGGAGGGCCGCGGAAGCTATGTTTCCGGCAGTTTCGGGCTCGGGGTCTGCGGTTTCGAGTTCATGTCGGGTGCTTTTTGGCAGTCTAGCTTGGGTGCTGGAGTTCGCATGAGCCAGGCTACTGAAGTGGGAAGTTCCTTTTCTCAAGATGCCAGGTTCCCAGTTTCCAGGTCGAGGCAAGCGAACATTCCGGGCATGACCCGAACTTGGATGCATATCCCCATGTTGTCATGTTCTTATCCTTCGAACTTACCCCATGACTTGGAGGTTCACGGGTAGTTATAAAGTAGGGTTATAAGTAGGGTATCTATACTTATAACCCATATTGGGGGGACTTATAACTACCCATGAACCTCCAAGTAGACTTTATATCCTTCGAACCCTTAAACCCTAAATCCCAAACCCCCAAACTCCAAACCCTAAACCCCCTAAACCCCTAGACTGGATGCAAGACAAAGCTGGTAGCCTGGCGCTCCAAGCTTGCTGCAGCGGGTCCCGGCTCCCTTTTTGGTGTCTGTGCGGCCAACAAGAACGAAGGGTGCTCCTTTGACTGACGCAACCTTGTAATATAGGGACCTTAATAATTGCCTATACTAGTTTGGGAGTTGCTTATTTACAGTATATTTGGGCCCCAAATCCCTATACCAATTATCAAAGCCCCTACATTAAGTGTTTAAATTCGGTGAGCTTCCATCCGTGATCTGGCAGGTTGGAGGTTGGGGAGCCCTGGACCAAGTCGTGACGCTGATCAGCAAAGATGACGATGTGAAGAGCCTGGTGCTGTACTGTGCCAGAGACTGAGACGGCTACACCCCAAAACCGCCCAAGAAATCCGCTCTAGCTGCTGCATGTAAAGCAGCGCAGTGAGCACATGCCGGGAGACTCTACAACAGCAACGGGCGTAATGTTGAGAACAACTCTCTGCCCAAACCCCAGGAACGTGAAAAACCCTGAGCTGTCCACCCCAAGGCCCGAAGACCCACTACTACATCACTGATAAATGCTCGGCCCTACCGGGCCCTAAACCCAAGGTGGTGACGGCTTTTGGCTACTTCGGCCTCCGCTGCCTGGCTCGGAAATACCGCGGCTATGCTCTTCTGGATGAACTGTGACAACTCACGACGAGGAGCTGTTGAGGGTATAGCTGAACCCCAAATGAACCTGTAGCGCCTCAAACATGCAATTTGTTTTCGGGTTTAGGGTTCAAGGGCCGGGGGCAAAGTAGCATTTTGGGTCTAGAATTGTTCGTTGAGGGCTGTTGCGTGTAGGGTTTCTGCTGCATTGTATTGAAGCGATCAGCCACTGAAGTAAGGGCGATGAAGTGCAATATTTGTTGTGATATATTATGGCACTCCCCATGTATGGACGAGGATTGACGGCGTTGCCTGAAGCTAGAAAACATTCATGAACTGATCTTCCAAAGATTTATGTAGCACAGTCTAGGACCCCAGTCTACGCCGCTCCAGACTCGGTGCACCCCGAAGGAACTGGGTCATCTGCGTGTCAACAGCGCTGCCTGCAGTGTCCCCATCAGCGCCGCCTGGGCATCGACAAGAAACGAAATCTGAAGTGGCCCGCTGGCATTGCTCAGAGTCCTTCTTCGGAAACGGGCGGCCATTACGTGCCATGACGGTGCAGTACGCATGCACGCTGCACTGCATCGCAAGAACCTGGAGTGCTGGCTTCTTAGCTGCTTTGCCGGATGCACGCAGGGGAGCCGAAGCGACCATCGACGGATTGAAAAAAGGCGGTATACTACATACGCAGTGCATCTTGACTGTGTCATAATATCAAGATATACTAAAGATATATACGGCATACGACAAGTCATTCACACAAGCAAGACCATTGTAGGGTTTCTCCAGGTCGATATGTGTGTGTGTGTGTGTGTGTGCGTGTGTGGGTTTTGGTGTAATTATTATGGTCTGCCTCCGAGGTTGGGAGGGAGGTGCCTTACGTAATAGGCATATAGGAGTCCTTGTATATCGGAATCGGGTTTATATCAGATTCCCTCACGATTGAAACTCCTGCTTGGTATGTATGGTTGCACGTCCAACGCCAAGTAAAATCCTACCATGTTATATCCTGTTCACCATGTAGTGCTGTGTAGAACTTCCATGAGCGGACTCGGCCTGGTTTCATGTTGCCCCTGCCCTAATTCTAGCTACCATAGAATCCTAAACCCGAAACTGCAAGCCCTGAAACTCTAAACCCGAAAGTGTGAGATCATTCCTCTGCAGCGGAGTTAATCATTGTCATGTAACCCCTTAGCATTTAGGCAGCACGGCTGGTGTCTAAACTTGGTTTGACAACTTGGTGTGATGGGCTGAAGGCGTATCTCTATTTCGATCTTTATCTCGGCGCCACGGTGCCAGCATGGTGAACCAGATGTGTGCTCGTAGCATTAACGACGTGCTGCACTCATCAATGCAACAAAAATGACCTAGAAAGGGAGCCGGATAGCTGCGGACCTGATCCGCACTGTATCTTCCAAGCCCGACAGCCTAATATTGAAAACTGTTTAAGAGATGCAACAGAGCCACATCTGTCAGACAAGGCTCTGGGCTGTGGGCCCTCAAAGACAAAACCGTCTAATTATGCCTGTGCACTATCTTAAAACAGATACCAGAAAGCACGAACAAACGCCCGTTGTTGAAGCCCACGAAACAGTTTGCCAGGTCGCCAATGTTGCAGACCTTCTGCCCACCTGGGCAACGTTTGTGCACGGTGCCAAGCTTGAGGTTTCAGCGTAACGAGCTTGAGCCGAAGGTTGTTACTGATTCAAGTTGTGGTTGAGAGTGCTTTCAGACCCAAGCACGATCGCAGGGGCTTTGTGTTCCGACTGCAACTAAAATGACGGGAGTTGCCCAGACATACCTATAGTTTTCGTTCTCTTATGGTGACAACCCTACGACAAAGCACATGGTAACAACAAAAGAGATACAATGGAGACTGTAGCTATGGATCCGTCTCTAGTACTTTCTTGAAGGGATATGAGCCAACACAACGAGAACGACTGGTTTCCAAAGCTGCTGAAGCCCGATTCCAGCACTCTCAGTGCCAATCCACCCCCTTATGCAATTCCCTCGGCTGCCCTCGCAGACTAACAAACCTCCCCATGCCCACACCCTAAAACCCTACTTGGAGGCCCACGGGACTTAGTGAGTAGGTTATAAGTAGAGTTATAAGTACCCTAACTGGAGTTACCCCAATTACAACCCTACTTATAACCGACTTACTCAGTCACCTGGGCCTCCAAGTACGCCCCAAGATTCGCGGCCACGGAGGTTGACGGCCCTGCCCTTGCTCAGCATCTTCGCCTTCTGCCGCGTCACGCGGGTTCTTCTGCGGGAGGATGTTGTCTGGCTCTTGGAGGACGGCTTTTCCCGGTGGTTGCCCCTTTGGCTGTAGCTGTTGATGGATAGAAGATCTGCAGCACAAAAGGCTCCGCTTATTGAACTACTCCCGAAGTCCTAAATCCCACCAACCCCTTTAAACCCTAACCGTTACCCTAACCTCCCTGAATTCTTGAATCCACAAAATTGACATGACCTTGTTCCCTGAACCCGTTTGCCTTAGACTCGCGCCCAAAGGGGTCGAAGTCCGAGGCTTGGGGTGTAGCATCTGTTGCTTCAGGGATTAGGGCTTTTAGGCTTGAGCCGCTCTAAGCCATTCTCGGCCGGTTTTTGTCCGTCAAGTTTAGGGTTTAGGGTTTTTTGAGGGCTTCTCACTAGTCCTACTACTGTATACAGGGTTTAGGGGCAGACATGCACGTGGTGAAGCATAGGAACCTATACTATGGAGCCCACCATAACCCAGCCATGAGCTTCCGAGCACTTAGAAAGACCTCCTTCGGCATTGAAAGGAGCAGTGGGTGTAGTGTTTAGGATTTATGGTTCAGGGGTTTAGGGGTTTAGGGTTTCGGGGTTTAGGGTTTAGGGGTCTATAGGGTTTAGGGTTTAGACACCATGTGAAGTCTCTTGCTTGGAGGAGACCGCGAAACCGACCACTCGACAGCCGGAAAATGGTCGGTACTGCACGGGTGCCCAGCATCGCTTTTGAACGCGGTCTGCTCTTCAAAGAAGGCCCCTGAGCCTTATGGGTATCAGGTTGACCCTTTTCAAAGGATTGGGTCTCGGCGTTGAGCAACAAACGTCCCTAGCCCCAAAGCCCTAGACACTTTCTATCTCTGTGTATGCGCACGTATACATGCATATCTACATATCTACAATTGTACATGTACATGTTCATACTCATATCCCTTTATATATCCACATACAAATCCACGTACATATGTAGACATAGTGTGTACACATAGATACATACACATATATATATATATTACGATATAATATGTGTATGTGTGTATACAGATATATGTAGATATACATATATATATATATACACGCATATATATATATATATATATATATAGAGAGAGAGAGAGAGTTGCAGGTCTGGGCTTCAAGGCTTGTGTTCTAATCCAATGGCCCAATGGCGACTGCACGGGTTCTTCAGCCTACGGCTTACGTCCCCCATCGCAACATCCAAGTTGTCTTCGTGGTTGGAACATGGGTAGTTCTCTAAATTAGGGTCCCGCTTTAGGTCCCCATTGTAGTTTCGCACCCTTATGAAAAGGACCCTGAAAAGGACCCTAATTTAGAGAACTACCCACATGGAACCCAGCGGCGGAACCCTTTTTTCTCAGCAAGTTCTTGTCAAGGGAAAAGTACTTTGGAACAGCACCATGAACCCCGAAACCCTGAGCCCCTCGACGAACCATGAAACCCCTATGATACTCCGAAGCCTTAAACCCGAGCCGTAGATACCACCGGGTACCTTTAAACAGACAATAAGCACCCCACCCATACTCCCTGACGGTTTTCCAAAGGCGACGCGCGGTGTAACCAGCTGACCAGCCGGCCCGCGGAAAGTTCCTGGGGATGCTGTGCCGAGCACCGAGTCGTCGGCTTCAGGTTGAGAGCCCGATACCCCTGAAATATGGGGTTTAGGGTTTAGGGTTTAGGGTTTAGGGTTTGGGGTTTAGGGTTGAGGGGTTTAGGGTTTAGGGGTTTAGGGTTTGGGGGTTTAGGGTTTACGGTGTATAGAGCTTAAACCATAAACCATAGTATGAAGCTCCTCATAATTTGACGAGGTAGGGTGCCTTATATGGGTGTATTGGGCTCTGTGGGTTCCGATCTAAAGTTTCACGGATTGCGGTACTTCGGCATGGTTGTAATATTAGCCTCGACCTACCATATATGAGACCAATTAATGGTTCCAATATTAGCTTCAACCTACCATATGAGGCCTCAAAGACTATCACCAAGCTTCATACCACTGCTACAAGTAACTATCAGCAGAATAACATATTTCCATGAATATTTCTGCTACTGGAGGCAATTTGATGATGATTATGGTCCATTAGCACTATTAGTCGGAACTGGGCTTCTGGGATCAGGTCCGGTCCAACTGAGCTTGCAGACGTCGGTCTTCGTGCAAAGGAGTGTTGTATGTGTTCACTTGGGCGTCTGAGGGGCGAACAAATTCAAAGATCTTTGAAAGTACGATCCTCGTTCGAAAGTTCCGGTACTGAGGTATCGCGAAGACTCTGAAACCGCATGTAAGGTTTGCAGAATCATTGAAGATGGACGGAAACCAGAAGCGGCCTGCTAGCAGCGAAAATGACGACAGGCGCCGAGATGTTAACTTGGCTATGTCGGCCATAACCAACGTGAAGCTGGATGTCTTTCCGCCAAAAGCAGATGTAGTTGTGCACTGAAACTGACGAGCAAGTACTGCGAATGCTGTACAATAGCAGTGTCAAGAGTATATGCCATACCCCGAAATTCATGATACTGCGCTTGAACCTGAGCCGTCATAGCTAACCCAGAAGCGACAGCACAGTAAGGAGAAAGCAAAGCCGCTGGGCTGCCAGGGAAGTCGTAACTTCAAGCCAACCGCTTCATACCCTAAACCTGTACCCTAAACCCTAAACCCTAAACCCTAAACCCTAAACCTGTACCCTCGACTTAATCCCACAGCTTCGAGTCCCCAACACCCTATAAAGACACAAAGGTGTCTGAACACTAAATCGTAAATCCTGAACCGTAAAGCCGTTGGGCTCTCAGTGAAGTCGTACCCCCTCTCCACGGCCACGCGGCGGTCTGTAGTAAAAATGCCTTCGGCATCGATGTGGGCTGCGCTTTCGGCGCTCCTTTGGCACCACGGCCTCAGTTCGTGGCTTTTGCTTTTTTGGGGGGGAGTGGGAGATAGGATTTATGAATTTAGCGTTTCAGATTCCCTTACTGTTCATCAATTGTTTTGGGGCAGTTTGAGACGTAATTTTGGGGGCGGGGGCGAGTAGGCCTACGTCTTATTCCTGTCAGGGTTAGATAATAAAGGGTGGTAAGTAATGCATGGTTACTAGACTGGTTACTATTGGGGGGTTATTACAAGGTCCCTCTGAGGCTTGCTACAAGGGATTCAGGGCCACTGGTTTAGGGTTTAGGGTTTAGGTTTAGGGTTTCAGGGCTTAGGGTTTAGGGGTGAATAGCAGGTGTTCGGGGATCAAGGCGCAAATGCCTTCTCGGTGAAGAACCTTGTTGCCAGAACCCATCAAACTATGGGTACTTCTCTAAACTAGGGTCCCTTCGGAGGTTCCTTTTTAATAAGGGTGCCGCACTATTTTGGGGACCTAAAGAGAACTACCCATAGAGCTATTACCGGTGACCATCTCATCGTACGAGGGTTCCTGAACACTGCCCCATGTATTTTTTGTATGAAGTATCCGGGTTTGGTTCTCTAGTTGGGTCCCGGATTTTCTGAGACGACCATATATAGCCTGTCATATATCTCATACCACACCATCATCAATCCCGCTCAGGGCCTATCACAAATCCTGCTCCAGGCCTATAACGAACTCTTGGAAAAAACCCAAACGCAATCAAAAGGCTTTATGGAGAAGCCATATCATCAATCCTTGTAAATCCGTGGGTCGTGTCAACCCTCACAAAGACCTTGAAACCGGGTTTCTAACATTTGTCCAGAGCAGTATCAGACTAAGCCCTAAACCCTAAGCCCTAAATCCTACTTAAAGCCCAAACCCTAAACCTAATCCCCAAACCCTAAATCCTGAAACCCTTTAGGCAATGCCTCGCCACAGAGCCAGCAGCGCCTGACTCGGCATGTCTGCTCCAGAAGAGGAGCCCGTTGTCGAAGCCATGGGCTTCGAAAATAGCCCTAACCCCCCGAGTACGTACTACATAGGGCCCTAGGGGCTCTAGTACCCAATATAGTAGGTACCTGGCGGGTTAGGGCAAGCTGTCTATAGGGTTCTGTAAGGTTTGTAGAGGATTCTATCCTATAAGGCATAGTGGCTTTAGGTGTTCGGGAGTTTCTGAGCCCGGGGTCTCAGATTCAGGCGCATTAAAATTAAGGTTCAGTTCTGCTGGGGATGGGTTTGCCCATAGTCTCCATTGTAGTTCCTTTTTTGGGGATACCTTATAGAACCCTTAAGTATATATTTGGTTAAACCAGAAAGGAACTACAATGGAGACTATAGGTAGGCTTGGGTGTTACTGTTGAGGATTCTCAGTTGAGTGCGAAGCTATGCTTGTGAGGGATCGTGACGGAGAGCTGCTGCAGGCTGACCTAGGTTTGCATAGATCGGCGCAAGGTAGGGGCCTGATTTTGAAAGTGTATCCCCGGAAATCGAGTATAATACACACCGACATACCCTAGATAACCGTCTTCTAATTCTTAACGCCCTTATTTATACCTATAGTCTCCATTGTAGTTCCTTTTTTTGGTTTAACCAATTATACATTAAGGATTTTGTAAGACGTCCCCAAAAAGGAACTACAATGGAGACTATAGGTAGTATGTACGCCCAGGTTGCAGTTTTCACGAGGATGGATCAGACCGCAGGGTGATGCGCTATACTCAACAGAAAGGTCCTTCTAAAAACTGCACCAAACTGGCAACCCCAAGCCATAAGGCCACAGCACCAAGCCTATGTTAATGCCTACAGTAACCCGCGGGATCCTCCTTATAGTCGCCGCTGTACTGCGCCATCTCTTCAGGATAGAAGAAGTCGAACAAGCGGCAGAAGCGGGCAGATCCGCTAGCTTGGCGCTCTCCAACAGCATCACGGAGCTGGCTGAATCCCTTGAAGAGGGCGAGACGAAGGACCCGGGGACTGCACTACAGGTACTACTTGGAGGCCCAGGGGACTTAGCAAGTCGGTTATAAGTTGGGGTAACTCCAGTTAGGGTACTTATGACTCTACTTATAACCTACTTACTAAGTCCCCTGGGCCTCCAAGTACTCATACTAGTCTTAAGAGGTCCTTCTAGACTACTCGTAGAGTGGAATTTCACTGAAAGCCTGATTCTATTACTATAAGGCCTCTACATTACCGCCGTCCGTGCCTGGAGCTTGATTGCCTTCCCGCAGAATAGGTTGCTGCTAAAGCCAAAACTGTACACCCGAAACCTCAAAGCCTCCACCTATAGTCTCCATTGTAGTTCCTTTTTTGGTTTAACCAATTATACATTAAGGTCTTTATTTTAAAGTATCCCCAAATAGAGAACCAAACCCATGGGGATCCTTCCTATAGTCTCCGTTGTAGTCCTTTCCTTTGGTTTAGCCAATTATACATTAAGGATTTTACAAGGGATCCCCAAAAAGGAACTACAATGGAGACTATAGGTAAGTCTTGAACCGTCGACTCCCCAAGCCACAACCTCCAGCCCTTTTGGGAGGTAAAAGGAGTTTGAAACAAGGGGGGGGAGGAACAACAACGGAGCTCAACACAACAATAACTTGCTATGGTTTAGGGTTTGGGGACCCTCTAGACCCTAAACCCTAAGCCGTGAGTTTAGGGATGCAAAACCAGACCCTAAACCTTAAACCCTAAACCCTAAACCTTAAACCCTAAACCCTAAACCTTAAACCCTAAACAATAAGCCGTGAGTTTAGGGATGCAAAAAAGGCCTCTCTTTTAGGGACCTTAGGCCCTGGGGACCCTAAGCCCTCAACCCTATAAGCCGTGAGTTTAGGGACCTAAACCCTAAACCCTAGAACCTATACCCGAAACCCTAAACCCTATACCCTAAACCCCTAAGCCCTATACCCTAAACCCATGAAGATCCTTATCGCCTGGGAGTCGATTGCAGCCACAGCAGTACAGATTGGTAGTATCCGTGATAGCAACACTACCA